TCTGACCTTCCTTGCTGAGGGACTAGGCTATACCTATGCTTGGTCACTAGCCCTTGCCTGGGCATTCAGGAGCATCTTCGTCTTGACGGACGGTGCCTGGATCTCGTGCCCCATGCTGCCTCATTGGCTCTGCTTATAGCCCATGCCTGCTTTGACCATTGAGGCCACTTAGGCAGGAATGTTCACTGCCCAGGGCCTTTCTTCCTTGACTCCAGAGGTCTGTGTGGTGTGGTCAGTGGATGAGAACAGCTGAGAGCACCTCAGTGATTTCCTGTCCTGCGCTGGTGTCAAGGGGATCAGAATACTGTCCCTCAGCCTGCCTGAGGCCAGCACAGCTGTGGTCTCCTCTAGAAGCCAGTGGACCTCATATTTGTTGACTTTTTATTTTTCTTTGCAGGACTTGTGTTGGAAGCCAGGGCCTTGAGTGTACTGGACAAGCAAGCACTCCACAGCTAGGTTACACCCGAGCTCTTTTTCCCTTTTCTTTGATTTTTTTTACATTTATTTTTTTCTTATTTATTTATTTAGTGTGTTTGTGTGTATGTGAGTATTCATGCGTGTGTATGTGAGAGTGTGTGTGTGTGTGTGTGTGTCCCACTCAAGTACAGAGGTTACAGGACAACCCAGGGTAGTCCGCTCTCTCCTTCCACCAGCTGGGTCCTGGGAATTGAACTCAAGCTTGGCAGCCAGAACCATTATCCATGGGCCACTTGGTTAGATGAAAGCCTTCTAGACAGGCTCTAAGTTGCCCAGACTGGCCTTGAACTCTCCGTATAACCCACACAGGCCTTGAAATTGTGAAGCTGGGGTTATAACCAAGCCTGGCTATGTTTTATAATTTTATTAAAAGTTTTGGATGTTTATTCAAACCTAAATACATCTTCCTATCTCTCCTTCACCTCCCAATACACACATGCCAGTTACAAGGTAGAGGGCTAAAAAACAGCTTTTGCCTGACTTTGCCCACACCAAGGCCACCAGGTGTCGGGAATGGTCACTGGTCTCCACAGTTTCCACACCCTGGTGTGCTTCATTAGCATTAACCCATTCAGCTCATCCACCCCTAGAGGACAGTATCTATAGTAGAGATCACAGTGTGTTTGTTCCCCAAGCGCTGGGTCATGGCTTTAGTGGACTACATTTCCCAGAATCCTTTGCATTTAGGCATGCCCACATGTCTGAGCTCTGGCCAATGGACTTGGTCAGGGAGGAAAGTGTCCCATCCCTCTCCCTTTTCCTGGAAATAAACATCCTTCCATGCTATCCTCCACAGTCTCTTTCCCTCCTATCCAGCTGTTGCAGACAAGCCCCTAGGAGTGGCACGGTCACAGACACAAGGCTTTGCCCCTCTCTCTGTCAGCTCACAGCTGCCTGTGACAGGAGCAATAGATGTGCTTTTGTTTGGGGTCTGTCTTAACTCCCTTTCTGTTGCTGCAATAAAAGAAACTGACAGAGGGAACGTGAACGTATGCCCGGTACTCTAAACCTGGCCAAGGACCTGTAACAGGGAGTTTATAGGCCTCGGTGAGACGCCTACACTGTTCAAAATGGACACGGCATCAAACTGCCTTCCTCAGCAAAGCTTCTTGCTGTAGATGACATTATTGAGACTCATGACTGGTCAAGGTGCAGGGACTGCCTGGCCCTAAATAGGACCTCGCGCTCTCTCTCACATGCATGCGCACACATGTGCGCACACATGCACACATGCGACATGAATGTTGGACGGCGACTTGTTGGAGAGAAATTTTTCATCAGGAAAATGCGGAGGGGAGGGTAATGGGGGTGAAAAAGACTGAAATACATGATATACGTATATGAAACTGACTAAGAATTACAAAAACCACAAGTTCTCTCTGATGAAAGTGACTTAACTTAGAAAGGGTCAGAGTTGCAGGTCCAGTCCGTCATGGCATGGGCCAGTCGAAGCGGGCGGCGCTCTGCAGTCAGGAGACTGAGAGCTGGGAACACAGCTGATACACAAACCCCCTTTCTCATCTCATACAGTCCAGGATCTCAGGGAGGGCGTTTGTCCTCAAGGAAGGGATAGAGTCGGGATAATCCCCATGGGTGTGCACATTACAGGGTTGTTACAGCCACTGCCACTAGCAAGGTGCCTGTCTTCACTGTCTCTATCCAAGGAGGGTTCTTTTTCTGCAGAAGGATCCCATTTTAGGTTCCCTGGAAGCTAGCAGACTGTTCTCCCTGCCTTCATCCTGGAGACCTGAAGCCAGAGGGGCCTTCTCTGGTCCTGGCCTCTTCTCCAGGGATCCAGGTCTCACAAGCTGGACTTCGCCCCTTGCCCTCATCCCTATGCTCCAGCTTTTCGCACTGAGATATGTGGTCGCTCCTAGCTGTCTTTGGCCATTCTGTCATCTCTCATTTATTTGGTTGTTGACTAGGACTGAAAGAATGGTATTCAGGGGCCAGAGATAGGACCGTTATTTCCTTCCCGACAAGGGATTGCCAGCCTGGGGCTGGCTCTCTCCCGAGTCCTCCTGCCCTGCTGTTGGAGGTGTCTAGGGACTGCCTCTGAGTGACCAGCCTGTGAAATCCTATAGAAGGCTCCAGCAGGGCTGTTCTCCCGGGACACCTGGATTCCAGGGGGAGTGGCTGGCCTCTGCCTTTCCCTTCCTGGAGCTGCAGGAGGCCATCCATGGAGGAGGTCTGCCTACCTCTGCACCCTGTTTTCCAGCTGACAATTATTTGGACCGTAAATTTCTGTTATTTTGCAAAGTGAGTACCCAACCTCAGAGCAGTGGCTTCAGCATTGAGAGCCACTTTCTAGATGGGGACGCTAGGGCCCTAAAAGGCTTGAGCTGTTAGTTCGGGGTCCCAGACACGGTAAGCAGCAGCTATGGGCATGAGCTGAGGATGGAGGTGGGTCTCTGCCTGCTATATCTGACAAGTGGGGAAACCCTCTCACAACTGTGGGCCTCTCCTGCCTGGGAAGACCACTTTCTCTTTGAAGCAGGTTCTTATGTAGCAAATTTACTAAGTAACCCAGGTGGCCTCAGCCTTGAACCACTGATCCTCCTGCCTCCACCGCCCAGGTGCTTGGGTGCCAGGTGTGTGTCAGCACGCCTGGTTTATTTGGCTCTAAGGATCGTGCATGTTAGATGGGCAGTCTACAGACTGAGCTGCACTCCCCCCCAGCCCCTCCCTCCTTTAAATAGCTAAATTGGCCTCCCATCTGCCTGTTCCCAATCCCCCAGTCCACGGCTATCTTCCTAGTAATAACCATAACAGCAGCAACTGTGCTTGATGTGTGCGCGGGGTCCCACTCAAACTGACCGCACCCTAGACTTCACTCACTGGCCCCAGAAAGAGGTGCCCTCAAGGCCCCATTCTAAGGATTGGCATGTTGAGATCCAATGGCCTCCTCTGAGCGAACCCCAGGAGCAGCAGTAAAAACCTGGCTTTACCACCCTATAGCCTGGAGGAGAGAGCTGCAAGGGAGGGGCAGGAAGGCTGGCTCTCCCGAGAGCTCATGGGCTCTCTCCTCTCCTTCCCTCTGTGGGCTCTTGACCTCCACAGCACCCCAACCTGCAGCTCGTCCATCTCTGGTTCCCAGCACAGAAGGTAGCGGCAGCTTGCACGGCTGCAGGCTCGGCTCCACTGAGTCTCTCCCGTCCCTATCGGATCCCTGCTTCTCCAGGCTGTGTGCTCACTTTGCAAAACAGCAGAATTTATAGCCCAAGTAATTGATCAGGGTGCGCCTGCCTCCCTCCATCTCGCTGGGTCTCCTAATTCCCTTCTCGCTTTTCTTTTCCTCGGGTTTCTTCTCAGCCATCTGTGGTGTCAGAGAATAGGAAGCCAAAACGGGAGGGGAGGGTTCTAGCCCTAGTTCTGCCAATTAAGAGTCAAATGAACCTCAGTTTCCCCATCCGCCAGACAAAGGGCCTAATGACACTACTGCCCGTGTTAGGCTCCAGGGTGCTGGAGCCAAGGGTGGCCACTTACTCCCCAGAGCCACTCCAAGAGGTGAAGGCGGAACTGAGACCTACTTTCTGGACTGGGACATTGTGACCCTGAGAGCTTGTGGTGGTTAAGGGTTCCAGAGCTGTTAAAGGGTGACCTGGGGGCTTAAATGCAGGCCTCTGTGCCTGGGACCCTAAACCCGGAAGCTACACTGCCCCTCTGCCCCTCGAAAGGGTCAGAAATAATGGGATCCTCTTGCCCTGTCTGACCCTACTTCTCTCTATGTTGGGGTCAAGCATGGGCATGGGACAGAGTGTGTCCCTACAAGGAGAATTTTTATAAACTGTAGAGTGCTGGCCTCTCCAAAATCTGCTGAACGAACGGGGGTTCCAGGGAGGCCTGTAGAACCTTCTAGAATGATCCATAAGAGGACTCCAGGGGGCACATCACTGGCCCTTCCCCAAGGCAGGTGAAGCACTAACCTAGGAGGTCCAGCATGCCTGACCTGGCCTGGCAGACACGGGCTGGGAGACCCTCCTGAGCCCTCAGGGTGGTAGAGCCTCTGGGTGCCTTTCTTTCAGTTTGTGGGGGTGATTGCTTTCCTGGGGCCTCTGGTTTGTGTAACCCCCTCGACTCTCAGGCTAGCCCTGTCCTTCAGTCCGTTTGTCTTTGCCTGTCTCCTAGCCCCCGGGCGCCACCGACAGGATTTGCATCCCTTCTGTACCACAGCCTCCTCAGGCCAAGGCCATCTTCTTTCCCTTAGTCGCGCGTCCAGGGACACCTGGGCCTTGTGCAGCAGCCAGGACCTCCTCCTGGCCGGACGCTACGGTCCTCAGCTGGGGACAGAGGCCGTTTTGTCCTCGCTTTGGGGCAGGGATGGAGGCTCCGTCCTCGGTGGCCGCCTGCTCGCGCTTTGCTGGAGGAGAGATGAGAGCAGGCTGCAGGGCTGCAGGCAGCGGCTCGCAGAACAAACAGAATTTTTTTTTGCAACTAGAGGGGGAAGCACAGAGCTAAAAATAAAACGAAAAGATCAGTATCTGTCAGTCTGACAGCTGATTGGCTGCTCGGAGATGCATATAATTACCAGCAACTGGCGCTGGGTAGGCAAAGCCCGGAGAAACTGCTGAGATGAGGTTAGGATTTAACCTTTAAATTCTGGAGCCACCGGAAAGCTAGGGGAGACGACGGGCGTCGGTGCTAATGAGGCTGGGGGGCGGGGGCCGGGGGCACCGAGTCGGGGTCAGGTCCCCGGGCTCGCCCGAAGGCCCGGGGAACCCTCAGCCCGCGCCTCCGCCATCAGACTGGGAGTGCCTCTGATTGGGTGGCTCGGGGGCGGTGGGCCTTCTTCCCGCCCAGCTGGGGGTGTTGTTTTCCGGGAAGTTGGGGGGGGTCGCACCTGGTAGGGAGGGGGGAAGTACGCGGTGCTCTGGGGGGTCCCAGGCCTCTCCTCGACTGACCCCCATCCCCACGCACATTCCTCGGTCTCTCTGCCTGGTACTAGTAGGGTTTTGATTTGTTTTCACTGCCAACCTCTTCAGCTCCTCCTCACCCAGTCTTCTTCCCGACCTGGCCAGGGCACACTCAGGCTGGTCCCAGATTTCCCCAGAGATAGACCAGAGGGGTGTTGCAGTCCCTCCCTGAACCTCAGTTTGTTCATGTAAAATGGGGGTGGCAATGGTAAAAACCCCGCTGGTTGCCTCACAGGTACCAGGGAATTTTGCACCCAATGGTTCTCTTTGACTATCCACCCCAATCCAGGGACCTGGTCTCCCCATGTGTGAGATGGAAGTAAGGACCTGCCCTGCCCCCAGGGTGACCTTGGGGACCCAGTGAGCCCCTGCACTTCTTGGGGGTGGTGGGAGGAGTTCCCAGAAGCTCCTGGTACCTTCTCTCTTGCCTGCCCTTCCTCTGAGCTTCTTGAAGCTCCTCAAGCCCCAGCCATCCATCCCGTTTTCGCCTCACAGTTAGACTGTGGTCCTGAGGAGGGCAGGAACCATAAAGCCAGCTGTTTGGCCCATACCCCTCAAAAGGAAATGTCATTTCCCCTACTCTGTGTCCTAAGAGGCCAGGCAGAGACAAGGGTCTCAGGCAGCCACAGACCTAAAGCTAGCAGTGGCCTCATTGGCTAGGCAACCATCTATCCTCAGCACTCCTAGGGCCACTGCTTCTCACTCAACACCTAGGAGGTGCCTTCCTTGGACTGGAAATGTGTGAAGTGTTTGGGATGAGGAAGGAAGGAGTGGCCTGGCTGTGATGCCCACAGGGACCCCTGCAGTGCCCGCAGTAGCCCCTAGGAAGTTGCTGTTGGCATTCTACAGATGCCAGAACTGAGCCTGGAGCTGAGCAAGGACAGTGAGTTCTGAGACAGGAGGCAGCTCAGGCCTTGCCTCCCTTGGCCATCTCTGCAGCCCCTGGCTGCGGTGAAGATGAAAGGGAGGCCGAGGGATAGAGAAGGTTCTGAAACAGCTGCCCTAAGACCTTCCAGGCCTAGCGAGCCAGGGGGTCTTGCTTTAAACAGTTTCTTGGTGATTTCCAGTGTCATCACTTGTGACACGGTCCTGTAACTGTGCCCCCCATTGCCCCAGCCTCCCCAAAGCTCTCTTTACTTCTTACCCTGATGAGGATCTCAACAGCGGTGACAGCTGGGCACCCAGTGCTGGCTTCATCTTTGACTTGGAAAGTCACTCTGAGCTGTTGTCACCAGCCCCAGAGACCACCCTCAACCCTGTGTCATTCACTACTGCTCCATGTCAGCTCCAGCCCCAGCCCTGCCAGCCAACAAAGTTCTCTGCAGACGAAAAGACGGAGGTAGCCCACCTTGCCAGGAGGCAGCCCTAGACTTTCCATCTGGAGAGCCCCACTTCTGACAGCTGTGTGGCACAGCTGCGTGGGACCACCCCTCCCATGCCCCAAGTGGTTTCCTTGCTTACCTGGGAATTGATGGAAGTTGACCGGTGCATGCGTGTGTGGATGTGATATATGTGTGTGTGCGTGTGCATGTGTTTGAGCATTCGCATGTGTATGTGATATATGTGTGTGCATGTGCATGTGTTTGAGTGTGCACATTTGTATGTGATATGTGTGTGCACATGTGTTTGAGCGTGCACGTGTGTTTGAGCGTGCACATGTATATGTGATATGTGTGTGCACATGTGCTTGAGCGTGCACATGTGTATGTGATATGTGTGTGCATATGTGTTTGAGCGTGCACATGTGTATGTGATATATGTGTGTGCACATGTGTTTGAGCGTGCATGCGCACATGTGTTCACACCAACAGTAGGGGTGTCCTGCCTCGTCTTTTCAGACAAGGGCTCTGACCCTGAAACTCACTGACTGTCTCGGGGGATCTGTATGACTGTCACCTCCAGGGCACTGGAGCTACTGACAAACGCTGCCCCTCCTGGCTTCTGTGTGGGTGCTGGGGAATCCAAACTCATAGTTGAACAGCAAACACCTTGCCCACTGAGCCATCTCCTCAGTCCTGCCTTTTTTGTGTGACCCGATTTAAATTCTATCTTTGTCGCTGTGATTCCCATTTACAGAAATGTTGGCAGTGTGTGGCCTTGCTGTATGATGACCGGCCAGGGTCACTCACACAGACAAGCTATTGCTGTGGCTTGTCTCTGAAGGGTCTCCAGTTCTGGAGTGGGTGAGAGCTGGAGGAGGCCACAGAGTGACCTTGGAGCCTCTCCTCACCTCTCGGAGTCTTGGCTTCTTGTTTTTCCACATGGAGACAGGCTGATGAGAGTTGAGTTGAATTCCCCCGAAAGTGTTGTGCTGGCTGCCTGGTTTGTCAGAACCATGCTGGTATACACAGTACCTGGGGACAGGGGAAGGTTCTAAAGCCTTAGTTAGGTGTGTCACTGAGGAACCTCCCGGGGAGCGTGCATGAACTAGGACAGCTATGCCCTCACTGGCTGAGCAGAGGTGTGATCCATTGCCAACCAAGACCCTCAACGTGGCGCGTAGCTGACCAACGATGGCCCTGCCACCAGGGACCAACCCTCCTGGACTGTAGCTTTTGCAGGTTGTCCTTTGTTCTAGGCAAGAGTATGAACAGTGGGCAGGGCTGTTGGAGGTGGGCTGCTGGGGTCTGGCTTCCAGGATTCTGGGCTGGGGCAGGGCGGGGACTTTGGCTGTCATTCCCCTCCTTTCTCTCTGTCCCAGCGCTGAGCTGGCCGCTGTAGTCTCTCTGTCCCAGCGCTGAGCTGGCCGCTGTAGTCTCTCTGTCCCAGTGCTGAGCTAGCCGCTGTAGTCTCTCTGTCCCAGCACTGAGCTGGCCACTGTAGTCCCAGTGCTGAACTGGACACTCTAGTCTCTCTTGTCCCAGTGCTGAGCTGGCCTTTGTAGTCCCAGTGCTGAGCTGTCCGCTGTAGTCTCTCTGTCCCATTGCTGAGCTGGCTGTTGTAGTCTCTCTTGTCCCAGTGCTGAGCTGGTCACTGTAGTCTCTCTTGGGAAGAAGGGGTTAGGAAGATGTCAGTCTCCAAAGTAGTCATGTTCACCTCGACATAGTCCTTACCCTGGCGCTTGTCAAGAAGAGGTGGCTGTGCTGGTGGTGTGACGATGG